AGACAGGAGAAAAAAAAAAAAAATAACAACAATTTATTTTTAATTTAAATTTTTAAAAAATAATTTTTTAATAAATATATTATGAAATCTATAAAATCAAAATATGTACTAATTGTTATCTTTATTTTTTAATAAGTAAATTAAATAAAATTAATATTTTAAACCAATTTTATTGGAACAAAAGAATTGGTTGTCCAAAAAAGAAAGAGACAACATAAAAATAAAAATAAAGTGGATTCTTTTAAGGTTTGGATTTTATCGGTGTGTTTGGTTGCCAATATCCTTGGGGAAACATTTGTAGGGAAGTCGAACAAAAAATAATAATAACCAGCTTCCCTAGAATTTTAAATCCGTAAATAATTTATTCAATAGGATTACAGTTGGTTACATAAGGATGTAGTGTTGAAATGTTGTTTCCTGCTCAAAAACCTTAGAAAAAGAAAATTCAGCTATATAATCAGTTGAGCTAATTTATAATAAATCATGTGCTCGTTTGGTGTTGCTGAAATTTTTAATAAAAATGTTGTTAAAAAAAGTTGTTGTAGAAATATTATTTTTGTAAATAAAAAAATAAAAATAAAATAAAAATAATATATTAATTTTATTAAAATCTAAATAAAAAATTAATGTAAAAGCACCAATTCAATGCTACTAAAATCTATAATGAAATAGATAAAAAATAAACTTACGTAAAGTTATAATATTTTTTATAAATTATAATATTTGGTACAGTTGAAGTTTTTAAAGGGCAAAAAAATTTGTACCAAACATAGCCTATATTAATTATAACCATTTATATCCACTATATTACGTATATAGCTCGTTAGAATTAGGTTTTGACTTTTGTGCCTCAAACATTCATTTCTAGACTAGGCCATCTAATTTTTTTTATTTTTTTCTAGGCTTCCCTGCAAATGTTTTCCCATGATATTGGCAACCAAACCTCGCCGGAGGGTTCAGTTTCCGGCCCAAACAGGTAGATATCGAAGAATGGGTTTGATGGAGTTTGATTTTCGTTTGGGCTGGGCTTACAAAAAAGCCTTAGTTGACGTACTTCAAAAAGTCGACGCATCGGTGCCCCACCAATGGGCATGAGCCATACACATTACACAACCCGGTTCAATCCCGGGATCATGATTCGTGAACGGATGAACCCATTTAGAGCATGTACAATGGTGGTGCTTTATTTGAGACAGTTTTGCCTCATTTGAGAAGAGTTCTGAAATAAGAAATATTCTCTGGATATAACATGTTAGGTTTTTATTTTTTAATCCAAAAAATGTTCAATCTTGATCTAGTTGCCTAAGCTGTTGAGTGAAAGCTTCTTTTTTCTTTTTTTCTTTTTTAGTTTTTAATTCAAGATATTGTTATTTAAATTTATAAATTGCAGTTTGAATAAGATAATAAAGGTCTGATTTTTAAGAAAGTTTTATGAACTTGAGGAGATGCATTCCGTTGAGTATTCTATTTGAGTTTTAAATATATTCTCTCTATTTATTTAAATAAGTTCTTGTTGATTGTTTTTATTTGACCTAAACATATTTTTAATTATCATTTATATAATATGTTGAATTTTTATCCAAAATTTATATTTGAAAAATTAAAAATCAGATTAAGTTTACTAAAAAATAAATGAAGAGGGTATAAAAATAAGATTAAAGTTTAAAATGAAAATATGAGATCACCTCATA